CAGCCTTTTCAAAAACTGGTTATTAAGAGGAGGAATAGTATAGAATTTGAGAATATAGACCTGGGTTTTTGAATCTCAGCCAGTTAGTATCTGTGTAATATTTTAGCAAGTTACATACAAATTCTGAGTGTTAGGGTCTTATTCTATACAGTGAGAGTAATGGTTGCTGCCTCATTACATTATTGTATTGAAGGAGATTATGAAAAGCAGTCAGCACAGTAGAGAAGTGCTCATAAGTTGGCTGCTCTCTCATCATCATCCTCATAACTGATGCTTATTCCCTGGACTGTAAGGGTTGGATTGTGGATGGCTGTTTTAAGTATAAAATCAGACAAGTATCTTGAAAACCAAAATAAATTCTTTACCTACTTCATTATTTGCCAGTGCCCCAAAACAAACACATGATGACTAACTCCAGAATTAAAGATTGTGGTACAGAGTATATAAAAAAGCCTTCTAAGGTCTCCTTTTGGAACAGGGTCAGTGGCCAACACATGTGAAGATAGGAAAAACTGCCATGAGTGAACCTTCTAACTTGTCACTTCTTTTCCTTTCCAGGGGGTCTCTTCTAACCTTTTCTTTATAGAACACAACTTTCCTGAGCAGGAAATCCAAGAAAGCAAAAGCCACCAGAACCAGCATGAGGCTCGCTTTGTGGTGGAGCTGTGCAAGTACTTCCTGTGCCAGGAATACCTGCCCTCCCAGATCACCATCCTCACCACCTACACTGGGCAGCTGTTCTGCCTGCGCAAATTCATGCCAGCTAAGACATTTGCTGGTGTCAAGGTCCACGTGGTGGACAAATATCAAGGAGAGGAGAATGACATCATCCTCCTCTCACTAGTGCGGAGCAATCAGGAAGGGAAGGTAGGTTTTCTCCAGATACCCAACCGCATCTGTGTGGCCTTGTCCCGCGCCAAGAAGGGGATGTACTGCATCGGAAACATGCAGATGCTGGCCAAGGTGCCCTTGTGGAGCAAGATCATCCATACTCTTCGAGAGAACAATCAAATAGGCCAGACACTCCGGCTATGCTGCCAGAACCACCCTGATACCCACACTTTAGTATCCAAAGCGTCTGACTTCCAAAAAGTGCCCGAAGGAGGCTGCAGCCTACCCTGTGAGTTCCGGCTGAGCTGTGGGCACGTCTGCACCCGTGCCTGTCACCCCTATGACTCCTTGCACAAGGAGTTCCAGTGCATGAAGCCATGCCAGAAAGTCATCTGCCAAGACGGGCATCGGTGCCCCCTTGTTTGCTTCCAGGAATGTCAGCCTTGTCAGGTGAAGGTGCCCAAAATCATTCTTCGGTGCAGGCATGAACAAAAGGTCCCTTGTTCCATGCCTGAGTCAGATTTCTGCTGCCAAGAGCCTTGCCCGAAGATCCTGAAATGTGGGCACAGATGCAGCCACCTCTGTGGTGAGGACTGTGTGCGGTTGTGTTCAGAAATGGTTACTGTGAAACTCAAGTGTGGGCACAACCAACAGGTGAAGTGCGGTAATGTGGAAGATCTCAAGTATGACTTACCAGTTAAGTGCACCACCAAGTGTGACACCATCTTGGACTGTGGGCATCCTTGCCCCGGCTCTTGCAGCAGCTGCTTTGAAGGGCGCTTTCATGAGCGCTGTCAGCAGCCCTGCAAGCGTCTGCTCATCTGTTCACACAAGTGCCAGGAGCCGTGCATCGGCGAGTGCCCGTCCTGCCAGTGGACCTGTCAGAACCGCTGCGTCCACAGCCAGTGCAAGAAGAAGTGTGGAGAACTGTGCAGCCCCTGCGTGGAACCCTGTGTTTGGCGCTGCCAGCATTACCAGTGCACCAAACTCTGCTCTGAGCCTTGCAACCGACCCCCATGCTACGTGCCTTGTACTAAGCTGCTGGCTTGTGGCCACCCCTGTATTGGTTTGTGTGGGGAGCCGTGCCCCAAGAAGTGCCGTGTCTGCCACCAAGAAGAAGTCACCCAAATCTTCTTTGGCTTTGAGGATGAACCTGATGCCCGCTTTGTGCAGCTAGAAGACTGCAGCCATATCTTTGAGGTGCAAGCCCTGGACCGCTACATGAATGAGCAGAAAGATGATGAAGTTGCTATCAGGTTGAAGGTCTGCCCTATCTGCCAAGTGCCCATCCGCAAAAACCTGAGGTATGGAGCCAGCATCAAACAGCGGCTGGAAGAAATTGAAATCGTCAAAGAAAAGATCCAGGGCTCAGCAGGGGAAATTGCAACCAGCCAGGAACGACTTAAGGCCCTGCTGGTGGGGAAGAGCCTCCTCTTCCAGCTGCTTCCTGAAGAATACCTAATGTTGCAGGAGAAGCTGGCCCAGAAAAATCTGTCAGTGCAGGACCTGGGCCTTGTTGAAAATTACATCAACTTCTATGACCATTTGGCTGGACTCTGGGATTCCCTGAAAAAGCTGCATTTCTCAGAACAAATGAGAGTGAGTCCTCGACTAGACCAGGTCAGTGAGTGGCTAGCCAAGAAGCGTTTGAGCTTCACCAGTCAGGAATTGGAAGACCTTCAAAGTG